GGTACTTTTAATCCATCGAGGTGGATATCATCCATGAAGAATCAAAAGATTGACAATATACCTCCCTGGCATTGTAGTGCCTCACTTCCAGTATAAGGTTAGTGCTATGTGTTGTTTTGAGATAACTCCTTCACTTGAGACTGGAACCTAAACAGTATCTTGTCTTAAGTTGACTTCATCCTATCACACATGCAAACACTAAGAAAACTGCTGTGTGACTATTTCATATGATCTCTGTCAAATCATGTGGCTTCAAAGCCTGAAAGTTCATTAAAATACACAAAGTAGAAAGAAAAGTAAAATCTTCCCAAAAGCAGCCTGTCACCATCACTACCACCTGCACCCCAAATACACAACTCTAGAATCAGTGAGTAAATGACAGAGCTCAGGTTTCACACACACAAGCTAGACTCTGTGAGTCTGTAAGTAGCATCAGTCCTGTTAGATCATTTTCAACACTAGCTCTTTTTGGAAAATTCTGGCTACATTTATTAAAATAAGGTTTAGTAGCAGACCTAAACATCCACTAACCTAGAAAGAGGAAGAAATGGTTTTAGTTCTCATGATGGGGAGGATGAGAGCCGAGAAGACTTTTCTATGTAATGCACCAATGTGATGCTAATTAGTTTGCAGAGTTACTGCTAGGGGAGAAGGAGCAAGGGCTTTGGAAAGAGATGTACTAAATCAAAAAGAGCTAAGGTAAAAATACCAAGATTTGGGGACTGTCTTCCTGAAACTGAGGGTTGAGAGAGATGCGCCAGGGAGTCCAGCTCCGTTTTGACCAGCTCTGGAGTTATCTGGGAAGGGTCATGTGTGCAGTACAATCTGTCTTAGGGGAATGAACTGCAAAAGCCTGTGCTGTATGGAAATTCTCCCCTTGACGAAGAAAGACTAACAAAGGCAAGAGTTGGGTGTGTGTGGCTTTTTAGGGAGAAGGCACACCTCATGCAAAACGACTCTGTGTGTGTGTGTGTGTGTGTGTGTGTGTGTGTGTGCATTTGCGCATCCCTGGTTGAAGCACAGACTTGGAGGTGATGCAGGACAGTAAACTGTAAAGCTAGAGAAGCAAGCAGAGGTCTGCTGAAGAAGAACGTCACAGGAACATCCCACTTTTGTTTGCATAGACAAGAAATGTCTTCTCTGTTTTCTCGTATATCAACCTCCTGCTCTCGGGATCAGCTGCTACAGCTGTCTCCCTGCACCGAGCCCTTCCACAGGTTTTATAAGTCTTTGCATTTACTTTAGAATGGCCTGTGTTCTCTCCAACTAGGTTTAAGTGTCTTGAGAACAAGCTCCTAATACTTCTTTTATATCTACAATGTTTAACAATTCTTGGCACATTTGTTCTTTTAAGAAACACTTATTAGTAATGCTGGGTATTCGTCTGTGTATCAAATAAAATAAACATGTTCCCTGTTCTCTTTGGGCGAGAAAGAGCAGCCTGGGGTAGAGGCCAAATATATAATTCCTGGTCCCTTTCATAAATTATGACCAGTCACAAAAGCTTCACTAACAAGTGCCTTTCTTTAAAAATATTTTATAGGGACCGTAGAGAGCACTTGCTGCTCTTCCAGAGGACCAGTGTTCAGTTCTCCGCACCCATGTCGGGAGGCTCATAATTGCCTGTAACTCCAATTCCAGGGGATCCAATGCCCTCTTCTGGACTCCTTTGACACCTTCACTTCCATATGTACAAACCAACACACAAACGCACACATATACACATAATTCTTAAAAATAAATATCTGCCAGGCATGGTGTTCTACACCTTTAATCCTAGCACTTGGGAGGCAGATAGAGGTGGATCTCTTTCGGTTCAATGCTAGCCTGGTCTACATAGTGAGTTGAGGCCAGCCTGGGCTACATAGTGAGACCCTGTCTCAAAAATATTTTTGATAGGGTTTAAGATGGCTTAGAGGATAAAGTGCTTACTGTGCAAGCACAAAGATCTGTATTTGGATCCCCAGCACCCATCATAAATACCAAGTATGGTAGCATGAATCTTAACCCTAGAACTGGAGAGTAGAGAAAAGTGGATCTGGATCTCAGGGGCTTGCTGGCCAGTCAGTCTAATCAAAAGAGTAAGCTCCAGGTTCAGTGAGAGACCTTGTCTCAAAAAAAATAAGGTGAAAAAGCAATTAGGGAAGACATTCCAATGTCAACCTCTGGCTCTCACATGCATCCTTGATGGGTAAGTAACCCAACACAGACACATGCACACTCATGCAATATACCACACACACACACACACACACACATTTATACATGAATGTAGATGTATATATAAAGAGAAAGAAAGAGACAGTGCTTGTGAAGAATACAATTCAAACAGACATCTTCATATGTGTGAATGGTTCTATATCAGTATTATAATAATTTTACTTTCAGAAGGAAACTGCTTGAAACTGTCACAGATATTTAAAGAACAAATGAAAGTTCTATGAACTATTGTGCAAGATGTTCCACTGTTCTTCTGTTATGCAAATAATGGCACTCTCTAAGTCTCCAAACAAGAAGACCCAATTTAACTTGCATGGAGAGCCGAATGTAGCGGCTCACACCTGCAATCCTAGCTCTCTGGAGCCAAATAAGAATGAAAATTCCGTGCTAGCCTGGGCTACACTGCAAGAACCTGCCCCAACAAATAAGCAAACAAGTTGTATTCAATTAGAATACCAAGCCATGTTTTTGTTTGGTGTAAATTCACTTTCTCTGAATTACATAATGGATGGAGTAACAGTTGTAAGGTTGGTTTATTATGCTATGTTTTAAAGGCTTGCACTTTAAAACTCCACTAAAAATGGCAGTGTAGATCCAACCACTTCAAAATTATTTTTGCTTGTTTATTCGCCTATTTGTTTGCTTGTTTATTTTTGAGATAGGGTCTTGCTATGTAGCTCAGGCTGGTCTTAAACTTGCTGTGTAGCCCAGGCTGGCCTTGAAGTTCCTATCCTCCTGCCTCTGCCTCCAAAGTCCTGAGATTATAGACCACACCAGTTTCAAAATGGTTTTTATCAGTGCTTCTCCAAGAGTGATACCCATAGCAATTCTATAAGAAATGCCAGGAAGTTGCTGGAAATGCAGATTCTTGTCCCACTCCTGTCTCATGGGCACAGAAACCTGTGTCTAACAAGCCCTCCAAGCCTTTCTCAAACCCATGGATGTTTGAGACTGTTCTAAGAACATACTGAAAAGGTCCTTAACAAAACTCTCATACCTTGTTCATTATCAGGATAGGAAGGAATTTGGGAGAGCACATGGAACAATGTTCATGTGTGTTGGATAAATGTGGAAACTGAGGCCCAGAGATTATCAACAGCAGCCAGAATCGGGCAAAACATGTTCTAGCATTAAAGTGGCTCCTGGGTATGTGCTACTGATGGTCAGCTATAATTTTGCATATCTGAAACCAAACTTCATTTCTTTTTATACATTTATTTGAGAGACGAGAGAGAGAGAGAGAGAGAGAGAGAGAGAGAGAGAGCACACTTGTGCTAAGGCGCATGTGCAGAAGCCAGAGGATAACTTGTGAGAGTCAGGTCTTTCCTTCCACCATGTGGGTTCTCAGGATTGAACATAGGTAATCAAATTTGGTAGCAAGTACCTTTACCAGCTGAGCCATCTTACCAGCCCCAAATTCCACTTCTTAAATGCCCATGCATAAAAAGCCTTTCTGGTTTATTAATATATCCAGGCAGAGTTGTAGAACCAATCATATCTAAAGGATAAGCCAAAAATACTTAAAGATATTCTTGAGAGAGAAGAAAAAAGCCTTATTTTAAGGAGTAAATCAAACATCCAGGAGTCAAAAGGTTCAGGCATGACTTTAGGTTCAAACTTAGGCTAGCTCCTCCACAGCTCCTTGACCTGAAAGTGGGAATATTTCTCTACCTTATTCAAAGAGTGCCTTTAGAAGGATCATTTTCAAAAAACGATGATCAAGCTTTTCTAGGGACAACAGTCAGCCCGGGCTGATAGTTAGAAATACAAGTGGTGGGTGGCTTGCTAGTTATATGGTCCTGGGAAAGTTATCTTATCTATCTCTCTGAGCTTCCATTCCTCTGCCTCCAGAAAAGACTTATTTTTTTGTTTGTTTGGGATGTTTTGTTTTGTTTTTGAGATAGGGTCTCCCTGCAGCTCCAGCTGGCCTGGAACTCGCTATATAGAGCAGGCTGACCTTGATCTCACAGAGATCCACCTGCCTCTGCCTCCAGAGTGATGGGATTAAAAGCATGCATCATCACAACCTGCCTGGACGCTTAGATTTTGTGCATGGTGGTGCTGCATATAAAGTTCTTGTAACGTGAACATTCTGTAAATGCTGGCCACTGCTCTCACCATTACTAATGTGCACAATAGCATTGTCAAGGCCGGGTGTGGGAAGGCATGCCTATGATCCCAGGAAGAGGGATCTTAGCAAGTTCAAGGCAAGCCTGGTCTACACAAAGAACTCTGAACCAGCCCTGCAGGGCTACACTGTAGGACCCTGTCTCACACAAAAAATTAACAAATAAAACAAATAGTATTACCAATTGTTTTTATATTAGCCTTCATTTGCAGAATGTAAGAGATATATTTTTCTTAATAATGGTATATCCATATGCATCTATCTTCACTGCCTCATACTGACACCCACATAGTAGTAAGGAAGGTCAAAGACATACTTAGTATGACAGAAAAGCAGCAGCCTTCTGACCTATATAGCAGCTCAATCTCGAAGTTGAATCTCATAAACAACCACCAAGTGCTTTGAGCCCCAGCTTCAATGGCATTTCACTAACAGGCACGTGTTCCCGCACGTATCCTCACCCGAGCAAATTCTTCAGACTGTCCCATAGCCATATTGTATGACTAGAAGTGTCCAGAGTTTACAGTTCTTCAGCTCATGTGCCGAATGGCAAGGACCCTGAGGATATCTAAGAGCAGAAACACACTCAACAATACACATGCTGAAGCAACAGCACCTTCAACAATCCTTTCCCAGGGCTACAATTCCTTACCCGACTGTGAAACTTGGCAGTCCGGTAAGACTTGGGTGACAGGTTGTATACTGTGTAGTGGTCAAGATGTCTAGAATCCAAAAAGCTACGAATGTCATCAATCTGATTCCTGAATCCTATGTCAACATTGTCCATAGGAAAGGACATCACTAAGAGAGGTCACAAACAAAGAAAACAGGTTAAACAGGTCTGCTGTCATGATAAGCAACACTTAGGAGCAGCTAATGAGTGCAAGAAACTTACCAATAATTCTGGAGGTGACATAAGTGAAGTCTAGGTCTCCCTTTGTATAGCTAAAAGATAAGAAAGGACACTCGTTAAAGCAATCCAAAGATTTTGCTCTCTATTACTTGAATATCATGAACTGGGACACTTATGTCCAGCAGGCATGTCGTGACTCATCTCAAGCACTTTCCCCACTAGGAAGGCATCACTGAGAGAAGACAGCCCACATCCTCTTGATCCACACCTAGCCTGTGCATCCTGCTGCCCTGAAGACACCCCTTGTAGAGCAGCATCAGTCTCAGAATAGAACTGCTGTGTATGTAGTAACAACCAGGGTTCCAGTCTATCTGCCCACTTGGAACTCTCTCCTCTAATTGTGAGCAGCTAAGAGGCAAGGGAAGACATGAATGAGAAGAAAAAAACGACCCTCTTTCTCCTCCTGCCAACTTCCTCGTTGAGAACCAGAGGAAATAGTAAATTTTATCTTTAAAACATGATTAAAATGTTGATTAATTACTAAATTTGACATTTGAATTTCTGATTCAAAGCTGCATGTTATAGCTGAAAACAACCCAATATCTTTCTAAGTCTTAATAATAAAAGTAATCCATATCATTTTTGTAAGAATTTTAATACAGCGGAATAATAATAAACGTCTCCGATTAGATAAATGTTGAAGGACTAGCAGGACACAACAGTTCTGTTTCAAATACAATCTGCAGACAGCTTGTGCATTATTATCTGATTTAATCCTCAAGGCACTCAAAGACACAAATCCTATCATGGTATAAAAGTAAAGTTCAGAGAATTTATGAATTTGCCTTAGGTCACGCAGAGGGCATCAGAACTCATGACACTTGACTATAGAGCCAGAGAGGGCAACCATTCTACTCTAACATATCAGTGAGCTGAATCCTCCCAGACTTCTTTGTAATTACTGTTTCAATGGCATTTCTCAGTTGATCAGAGTCTATGCAAATTATGTAACAAAAATGATGCTCTCTGAGTCCAGTAAGCAGTTGGCAAGTGACCAGTAACCAGATCTCTTGGGAGCCTGGGTTTTACCAGCCTCATCAGGAAGAATGCACACACCTGGAAACAGATTGGATGACTCTAGAGGATGTGTCTTTGAGGGTGTCTTTCAAGTTGTCCTTCAGGTTACTGAAGAGCCTCCCTGCACCACCTTTCACCATGTCAAAAAGGCCTCCCCCATAGCTGGGCTCCATGTCTGGAGATGAGGCACCTGCCAAGGAAAAGCAGAAGACGTGAGGGCACAGAATGACCACACTGAACATCAATCCCTCTTCATCCTACAACATACACAATTTGGGTGTGTGGGGCAGAGTCCCAGATGTTCTGCTGTCATTACTGGATTATAGCAGTGCTGCTGGCCCCCAGAGAGACCAAGGTAAATCTCACACTGAGTCCTAGGCAGAGGCCTCCAGAGCAGCCACAGCCACAGGTAGCAACTGAGCACTTAAAATACAGCTAGCCAAACTGAGGTGTCTTGTAAGAATGCACACCAATTCCAAAGACTTGGCATATACACAAAAAAACTCAGTATTTTATATTAATTTTGAAATAGTTAAATAATTACATCATTTCAATCAATTTCACCTTTTTAATGTGAATACTAGATTTTTAATTTGATTTACTGTATTTCATTTCATTTTATCTTATTTTCTAGAGAGAGTGCTGCCTTATAGCACAGGCTAAACGCAAGCCCATCATACCTCGGCCTCAGTTTCCTGAATAACTGAGATTACAGGCATGTACAATCATGCTTAGCTTAGAAAATGTTAAATCACCTACATAGCCTATATAAGAGAACCCTAGGAAGGACAGCAGGCTGCTTAAATTTATCTAGGGGGAGCCGACTGCTAGAGACCCAGAACACGCTGTCCCTCACAGCAATAATTCTTGTCCATCATGGCTTTGAGAAGCACATTAGGCCTGGGACTGCATGCTGGCCATTGGAGTTATTTGTCAGACACTTCAAGTTCTCTTCCCTTGTGATTTCGTAAAATGGTACTTTCTGTGGCTAGCTCTAGTCAGCACTACTGATATTTGGGGTCACATATTTCTTGTTGGAGGTACCACCTGCATTGCAGGGTGCCATCATAGGGCTTGGTACTAGCTAGAGTTTTAGAGGCTTTCAGTCCATAGCTTCTGTAAATGGGGGGAAGGGCTTTCTTTTGTGATTTTTTTCCAAACACTAATGAAGTGAGGTAAGTTGTCTTGTGCTTATTGGCCAAAAAAACTGCTTTTTTTTTTTTTAATTTCCAGTACTTCATGCACTCCCACATGACATTTACATATAATTATAAATATATGTTTACAGTGATCCTTCCATCCTGATCACAAAACTTATGGATGCTTTAAACTAATGCCTTATCTCTTTAAAAACGAAGCTCTGTTCCAATTGCAAAGAACAATGAATGCTGGCGAACAGAGAAATGGACACATGAGCAAGCATTAACAATGTCCTTTACTCCCTGGATCCTCCTATATGGCTAGGGCTCTTCTTGGGCCTTTATGATGCTACAATTCTTCACAGTTGGAAATTGTTTATTATTCCTACTGGGGGATGGTGAGACAGGGTCTTAACTGGAAGCCTAGGCTACCCTGGAACACACAGTGTTCCTCCTTCTTCAGCCTCCCAAGTGCTAGAATTATAGGTGTAAAACACCATGCCCTGGCCTATTTCTCCTATTATACAGGTGAAGAAATAGAGGCTCAGAAAAGGGAGGTGGTTCATTTATGATCAGCTAACTAGAATAATTAGCCATTCGCACCTATGTATGTGACTCCAAAGCCTAGCAGAGACTCTGCCTTGCCCCACTACTCTCCAGTCCCACACCAGCCATGATTTCCCCAGCTGTGGCAATCAGGATGGTCCTTTTCTGTCCTATGCACAAGCCCCCTCTCCTGTGTCTTGTGCTCCCCATCTTCCCACTGTATGCCTCTCATATGGCAGCTCTCAGCAGCAGATAGCCCCACAACCAGCACCCCATACATCTCTGCATCAACCAAATAAAGCATTATGTAGGCAGCCTGAGCTCTGCTGACCCCTCTGCTCCACAGCTTGAATGAAAGACCAGGGCCGAAGTCTAACAGCAGCTAGGACTGCACCACAAGCATGAGAAGGCGCTCCTGTGCTCTGCTTCCCTATGAAAGAGGGCAGGTTATCTCCCTTCAAGCACATGCCCATATAAAAAGATGTAGCATCTTTTGATTTTAAATACAATGAGGACAGAGGGGTTACAAGCATGCATAACCATACTTAGCTTAGATAGTAGCATACTTAGCACATAAAATGTGCTCTGCCTGCACAGCTTCCCGAGATACACTTCTCAGAGGGGATGTCAAATTCATTATCTAGATATCCTGCTGCCTCTCAGTTTCATGCTGGAGCAGAACCCTGAGGTCCCTACCTATTAAAAAGATATAAATGTCCTTGATTATCTAAAATTCACTCCCAGTCTCACTGTCTGCTCATTAGAGCCTTAGACTCCTGCAGAAACCAAAATGACTTTCCAGAGCCCATCTGTAGCCTCCATACACCCAAACTATGTCACACAAGCCATTACACAAAAAAAGAGAAGAGGGACACCGTGTGGTTTCGCCCTAATGGCTAATTTAGGTGGGTCGAACTTTTCCTGATGAGCTACACCAAATGCCAAAAATGCAGGTTCTACAAAGAGTATTTTGCCTCAGCTAGCTGAAAGAAAGGAGAGGCTTCAAAACCGACTGAGCACAGAATTAAATCAGGAAGTGAGAATGCAGAAGAAAACAATGATCACAGTAGATCCGGGCGAGCCGGCTCTGGCCTGTGAGTCAAATCCATCTGATTGCCTGTTTCTGTACAGCCTGTGAAACAGTGATCACTTTCATATTTTTTAACTGCTGGAAAAGTGAAAAGAAGAATGATAGTTCATGTCACGGGATAATTATGTGTAGGCTGAATTCCAATGTCTAGAAGTAAACTTTGATTAGAATACAGGGCTGGAGCATAGCTCAGTGTTGGAATGCTGTCTGGTCTGTGACTGCCTCCGTGCTGCAAAGGTGAGCTGAGACGCTGTGGCACACCTTATGGTCCACAGAAACCAAAGAATTTACCAGCCGGCCCTTCATAGCATTTCCCAACCTCTGCATTAGATTGTCTAAGCCATTTGCATTCTTAGGACTGCAAAGCTAGCCATGTCCACACCTAAGTGCTGCCCAGAGGAAACACACTTCCTGGGATCCTCAGGGATCCGAGGGCTTAAGAGGGTAAGGTGGAGAGGTGAGAAAATGCCAGCTAAGAAAGGCCCAGGTACTCTACCTCTCAGGCTCCAAGCAGATTCTTGTCATTGACATCTTGTCATTTTAAAACCTAAGCCCACTGGAAACTAATGTCAGAGCCCCACCCTGCCCCTATGTCATTCTTAAAGATGTCACAAACAAGCTTCCTTGGAAATTCTTAGCATTTAGAACAGCATCTTATCCTTTCCAAGTTATGGGACCTATATGTAGATTGCCTGACCAGTTCTTACAACGTTGCTGTCTTCTAAGAAAAGATCTTGTTGCTCATTGGTCATTATCTTCATTGACCTTCAATTCAAAAAAGACTGGCAGGGAGCTGGAGAGATGGCTCAGCAGTTACAAGCACCGGCTGCTCTTGCAGAGGACCTAGGTTCGGTTCCCAGCATCCACATAGTAGCTAACAACCGAATGTAACTCTAGCAAGGGAATCTGACGCTCTTCTGTCCTCTGCAGGCAATGCATGACACGGGTGCACTTACATACATGCAGGCATGCTACTCATACACATGAAATAATTTTTTAAATTAATTTAAAATTCAAGAAAGATGGTGACTGGAGAGATGGCTCAGTGGTTAAGAGCACTGACTGCTCTTGCAGAAGACCCAGGTTCAATTCCCAGCACACACATGGCAGCTAACAACTGTCTGTAATTCCAGTTCCAGGGGACCCAACACCCTCTTCTGACTGCCATGAGTACTGCATGACATACATGCAGGCAATACATTCATACACATAAAAAAAAAATAAACAAAATATTTAAAAAATTCAAAAAAGACTAGAGGTGATTCACTGGCCATTTGGAACACAGATCCTTCAGAAGGCCAACATAAATGTTGAATCTAGTCCTAACTGCTTCACTGTGCCCAGAACAGTAGGAGAAGCAGGTGCGGCTGCTCTCCATAAGCATGATTATCCATTCATTACATTAGCATAAGACACTGAGGAGCACTGGGGAAAAGGGAAAATGCCAATGAGGGCTTCACAGCCCACAGTGCACAGTATTGTCCCACACAGGCTTACACTGCTCGCACAGCATGCACCTGTCACAGGTACCCTAGACTGTGTGCAGTCTCATTCAGCAAGTCCTAAGAAGACACACTTCCATACAGTACTGTCATCGAAAGATAGAGTGCAAAGTTTTAGAGGAAAGATAGAAGATGTTGATCAAGGTATGGCTTTGAATAGCAATATTGTTCTAGTTTGATCTCTGTTGCTATGATGAAACACTCTGACCAAAAGCAACTTGGTAAAGGAAGAGTTTATTTGGGTTACACTTTCAAGTCATAATCTATCACTGAGGGAAGTCAAGGCAGGTGCTTGGAGCAGAAACCATGCTTGTTGGAGCACTCTCTAACTTGTTCTCGGGCCTGTGCCCTGCTAGCTTTTGTACACAGCCAGGCCTGCCTGCCTAGGGATGGTGCTGCCCACAGTGGCTGGGCCCTCCCACATCAACCATCAGTCAAGCCCCACAGACTTGTTCATAAGCCAATCTAATCTAGGCAATTTTTTAGTTGAGGTTTCCTTCCCAGGTGACTCTAGGTTGTGCCAAGCTGACAGTTTTGACACCAGGACAAAGAGGTTAAAATGATGTAATTTTTAAAATTTTGTGTATGTGCAGGAGTGTGTGTACATGGTGGAGGGTACACAGATGCAACAGTGTTCTAGTGGGGGGAGGGTCAGAGGACAATCTGGGAGTCAGTTCTCTCCCAAGGGTCCCAGGGATTAAACTCAGGTCATAAAGTTTAGTGGCAAGCACCTTCATCCACTGAGTCATCTTGCCAGTCCTACAAATTATGTACTTTTAATAGTAAAGGAATTGGTTAAGTATTCCTAATTACTATGTAATAATTATAATTAGCTCTTAAATATATATGTATATAGATTTAACTATAGGAAAATGAAAAATGGGATACAAAACATATACATAATTTGTAAGAG